TAACTCTGTAGTTGATTTTTCGGAGTTTGTAGAAGGAATATTAAAAGGAACAGCAAAATTATGACTGCCTTGGTGCTGAAGAGACTCTGGACTCGAGCTTTTATTCCCAATATTTAGGTATTTCAAGATTGGGGTTAGAGCAGACTGGAAAACAGATACCCGTGACTTCACCTGGCCAGCACTGTTTTCATTCTTAGCAGCAGGAGTGGAAAAGACACGGGCGTCGAAAACATTCCCATTTTCTTCCTCTAACTGGGGGGTGAAAATCTCTACTTTGCTCAGTTCTGCTTTTTCTAGCTTTGAAGAGTCCATGGCATTAGGATCACTAGGTGGAACATTTTCACAGCAGTCATCCTCCTGTGGATCCCCTTGGATGTATGAAGCTTGGGTTGTTGTGTTATTAGCCATGAAAGAACGACTTTTGGTTTGCTTTGATAAATATTTAAACAGGACTCCCTTCCTCTTAAATAATCAATACTAAAAATGCTTTAAACACATTGTCTTCAGTTTTCTCGAAGCAGGTAGTCTGGGGACAGAAAAAAATGCATTAAAAACATTTTTTTAAATCACAATTCTAATATATAAAATGTTTTTTTTTCCTTGATGTTTTTTCTCCTTATCTTCCCTTTCAAGACCAATTAGTTGTTAGACTAATACAGATAAAGAGAGTGCAAAATTTCAGCCAGTCAAAAATTGAACTCTGGCTTCTGACCTCAGAAATAAAACCAAAAAAAAAATAATAATAATAATAAAATAAATAAAAAAAGGAACCCTCTCTTGACTGTATTGTGAGCCAAAAGCAGCAAATACCTGCTTAGAAGAAATATTTGTTAGGCTATGTTGTAGGTTCCAAACAGTTAACTCAGCCATTCAATCAAACATTTACCCATTATCTTTTTATGTCAATACATAACAGAGAGCTTATTAAGAGAAAATATGTCTAAGGAAAGTAAGGGAACTATCAACTTTGACATTTAGGTTGAAGAACATGGATTTTTTAATATTTGTAGTCACTTTCATCCAAGTGAGAGATGATATTCTGAACCATCAACATTTTCAGTACAAAAAGCTGACGTAAACATTTATACTTTCTTTTTTTATATATACTTTTTTAAAATATTTTAGACAGTGTAGAACTGTTGGAGCAGATCTGTAAAACACAATCAGATGAAATGCCTCCAGAATTGGGTGTTTTAAAGAAGAAAGTAACTGTATCTTAAGCTCCTAAACTCAGTCCATCTAAACCTATTAAAACATGTCTTATTATTCCATCTATAACATTGGTAGACCTGAAACATACACCTTCCTCAGCCAAATAAAATAACACTAAAAATTAGAGGTTTGGAAAATCTGCCCTTTGATGTCAGTGATTTTAAACCTCAGTATCAGTTATGGAAAATCCCGCAAACTTTAACAGCCTGTGGGGGTCATATTATCCTGTTGGTGTGGAATGTACCAGCCAAACCTGTTGACCAGCTGAACCACTTCATAATGCTTTATGAGGCTGATCTCGTTGCAAAATAAAGCTCTTAAAAGAAAATAACAAAAAACAACAAATACCAACCTGGCATAAAAGACTCTACAATCCCAAATTCATTAAATAAAGAAAATAAATCTGGAGGTTTCAATCACTTCTACGACTAAATATTTGTAAAGTCTGGTGAGGAGAAACTTGACACTTTCTACTTTACAGAACAACTTTGGGATTAATTTAAGCGAAGGCAGCATTCTTTTAATATCTCAATGGGACGTCATTCTGCTGCTAATGCTCAACAACTCTCGTTAGTTGTAAGAAAAACTCACTTAAGAGAGCTTACCTTGGAAAGACAGAGGGATTTTAACCTTCCGTAAATATTTAACAAACCCTCTTTAGTTTCAGTGGTCGAAACGGAAACATTAAACCAGCTTTCTTAAAAGAAAATAACAAAAAACAACAAATACCAACCTGGCATAAAAGACTCTACAATCCCAAATTCATTAAATAAAGAAAATAAATCTGGAGGTTTCAATCACTTCTACGACTAAATATTTGTAAAGTCTGGTGAGGAGAAACTTGACACTTTCTACTTTACAGAACAACTTTGGGATTAATTTAAGCGAAGGCAGCATTCTTTTAATATCTCAATGGGACGTCATTCTGCTGCTAATGCTCAACAACTCTCGTTAGTTGTAAGAAAAACTCACTTAAGAGAGCTTACCTTGGAAAGACAGAGGGATTTTAACCTTCCGTAAATATTTAACAAACCCTCTTTAGTTTCAGTGGTCGAAACGGAAACATTAAACCAGCTTGTTTACCGAAAGACCGAAAAAAATAAATACAACTAACACAAGCGTTGCAGCGCCAGTCTAGTTTAAAACTGTCAGTTTCCTCATTGGATAATACCATCCAATCACAGCCCGCGGATTCTTCTTCGGGGGTTTAGCATTCGAAAGGCAGTTTGCTGCCACCTGTAGTCTAAACGGTGTATGACTGGAAGTGAGGATTGTAAAAAAAAAAAAAAAAAAAAAAAAAAAAAAAACACTTACGGATATTTTTTTACCTTCTTTTCTTAAATGATGTCTGGTCAGATATTTTTCGAAGACTTCTTATCTGAAAGCACTAATGATCTGACGACTTTACTCTATCATGACTTGAAAATATCGTGATTTTATATTATAACAATAATAAAGTCGCAATATTACTACTTTAACCTCGTAGTATTACCACTTTTTCCTGGTAATATTACGAGAAAGAAGTCGTAATCTTACTAATTAATTATTTTCTAATAGTCTGGCCCTTATACGTCTTCGTAGATGTCCATGTTATGTAAAATAAGAAAACATCCCAAATAAACTTCTTCTTCTTCTTCTTCTTCTTCTTCTTCTTCTTCTTCTTCTTCTTCTTCTTCTTCTTCTTCTTCTTCTTCTTCTTCTTCTTCTTCTTCTTCTTCTTCTTCTTCTTCTTCTTCTTCTTCTTCTTCTTCTTCTCTTCTATTATGGCGGATCACAAGCAACTTTAAGGTGCATACCGCCACCTACTGTACATGAGTGTGTAGCAGCGTTACTTCACATCTATTAGATTCTATTTTTTAATTTGGTATTCTTAAGATACATAAACAATGCTTTCCTTAGTTTATGAATATCTGTTATGTTTCCTTCATTTCCTAATATTCCTTTAAGATTCCATTCATGCCCTATACTTCTAACTATTCTCTTTAATTTTTCCCTTTCGTGTTCATATAACTTACAGTTCATCAGTATGTGTTCTACATTTTCTTTTTCACCACATTTCTCACTATTTTTCCTCCCTATTAAGTAAAGCATGTCATTTAAGTAGGTATGACCTATTCTTAATCTACTAACTATTATTTCTTCTCTTCTGTTTCTTTCATTAATGTTTCGAATTCGAACTGACTTTTGCACTTCATATAATCTTCTTCCTTTCCTATCTTCGTTCCATATTTTTTGCCATTCCTCCATTTCTTTACTTTTAATAAGTGATTTCCCTTCCCCTTTTCCAAAAGGAATTGAAATCGTTATTTCCCCCTCTAAAGCCCTTTTAGCTAATTTATCTGCCTTTTCATTGCCTTCTTCTTCTTCTTCTTCTTCTTCTTCTTCTTCTTGTTTTATTGGCGACTTGCAACCAAATGGAGCATTATCGCCACCTACTTGTTCTTATTTATATTTCCTTAAATCCTTAGGTTTAGTCCAGTTTGTTGAAGATAAGATGACATGATTTTAAGTACTGTCTTTCTGGATTTATTGAGAAGATATTTTTAATGTCCAGTTGTTTGATTCCTTCATGTTCCAGTCCTTTCCTTAAATCTATTCTTTGACTTGCATATTTAATACACTCAAACAGCACATGTTCTATGGTTTCTGGTTGACTACACATGTCACATTTTCCTGTTGGATGCTTCTTAATAACATGCAGTGATGCATTTAGCCTCGTGTGGCCTAACCTAATTCTACTAAACATCCCCTGTTCTCTCCTGCTCTTCCCAAGAGGCTCCCAAATAAACTAAACTGCTTTTGCACTTTCATGTCGTTTAGATTATGACGTCATCTGATCAACCCCAAACTAGCCTACATTACAGTGCGTCAGCGCTATCGCCATATTGTGAGTGGCATGTGTATTCGTTAGAAATAAAATAACCTCCAGAGCAGTTAGTGTGTCAATGCCTTTATTTCTTCAATAGTGGTCAGAAATCCTAGAAATATTATAAATATCATGGAATCCGTCTTTGTTATTATCTTTGTTCTTTGTTCTTATCTATGGAAGCCAGTTTCCATAGATAGGAGTAGTAAAAAAGGCACATGATATATCGTTATTATGAGATTGGAAGTTATAATTTAAACTTTCAGATTCAAAGTCATTATTCAGCTTTCAAAATCCCAATGATCAGATTTAAAATCATTATTATGAGATAAAAGTGATCATATTAAGATTCAAATTCATAATATATAAAGTCATGATTTAGACTTAAAGTTTAATGATATAAAGTTTATAATAGCGATTACTTTAAATCTTGCAACTATGACTTTGAAAGTCAAAATGATGACATGCAATATGCTTTGTTTTTCTTTCAAGTAGTGGAAATGGGGTTTAATATTCATCGCATATATTCCAAAATAGATCTGTCTCTTGGCAAGCTGGAGAGCATTTTGGGCTTTTCCCAGAGAAGCTCAAGGGGAAGTGAACGGAAAGGGAAGTCTCGGGTAAGTCTGCTTCCCTGCAACTCAGTCCTAAATAAACAAGGTGAAGGTGATGAGTATGACAACTGTGTATTGCATTGGCAGTCAGTCATTGTACAGATCATGTTTGAGATGCTGTCATTGTGCTCAAGTGTGACATATAAATTTGGATTTCATGTTTTCTTTATGAGTGCAAAAACTGACGTTGCTATTTTTCCAGACTGTGTGACTATTCCCTGTCTTATTTATGTTTTTTGACTTTTGAGATTAGGGCAGTTGTAAAAGTAAGGGAAGAAAATTTAATTTTGCATGAAATAAAAAACAAATCTCATTCAATTGTACTTTATTATCAAAGCTAAATACCAAAAACACAGGTAAAATAAAATAAAAAAATGCTTCTTGTTGCATAGTAGACAAAAACAGGGCAGTTAACTTATTTATAATATGTGGGGCTATTCACAGAAAGCATTAAAAGGATAATTTTTTCACTCTTTGGAAGTTTTCTTCAGCTTGGTCTTGAGTTCAGACATAAGTGGATTTCCAAATCTGTGGAAATATAGTAGAGAGAAAGTAAGAGAAATTCCTGATACTTTTAGTTTGCTTAAAATAACGTTAGGATTTTAAAGGACAAGTTTCTTTTTTTTTACCCTGGTTGTCCTGGGGGCATCCATTTAGGCCTCTTTGGTGCTTCATCTTTTTTAGCAGCATCACTCTTCTCTTCCTCTTTCTCAGTAGTCTCAGTAGATTCCTTTTGTAATAGCATAAAATCCAATAAAACTTCATCCAAAATAAACATAAATAACAATATATAGATTAATGCATTACCTGTGATTTTGTTTCTGGGTTATCCTCGTTTTTTAAGGCCCGTGGTGTCTTCCTTAAAACAGGAAAACCAGCTCCAAGCCCTGATTCCAAAAGTATAAAAAATATTTACAAATGACTGAAAAAGTACTTATATGCCATTGAGAAGCAGACCTACCTGGCAGTTTGATCCCAACCCCTAAGCCGCCTAAAGGCACACCTGGAAGAGCTTTGCCAGACACACGTGTTGATGGAGTTGGATCCACAGAGGGCATATTAATTAAAGAGCGGGGGTCTGTGGGGGGTCTAACACGAGGGTTTTTCACAGCAATCCGAGACCTTTGCAGTGCAAAATCTAGGATGGGGCCTTCGACCTGCAAGGGCAAAATCATTTCACTTTATAGCTCATCTGCTTTTTAAAAAACTGTAATGCTTTTGGTTTGATCAGAAACAATACCTTGCTTAGATTTTCTTCCAGCTCAGTCCTGCTTGAGTCTGGAAAAGATTTGATGATGTCCCCCGGCAATCTGTGCTCTGGTGCCACCGGAGTGAATTGCTGCCTCTCAGATTCAACCTGGGAGTTCTTTCTGTGTTGCCATGACTCCAGAGGTTGGATTTCTTCAGAGATTTCAGCCACTGTTGCTTCAAGGAGATCATCTTCAGCTTTTGTTTTCGGTACGGATTCAGTGTCTCTGCACATTGCACTAATTTCCACTCCTGTCTTTTCTTTTGTTTCATCTGACTTTTCTTGAGATGTAGCACATTCCTGAATTGGATGACATTCCCCTGGTGAGGAAACTCCTGAATCTTGGTAGGATCTGATCTCACTGGATGCTGTAACTTCAGTTGTTTCCTGAACCAATGCAGAGTCAAATATAGGCATTGAAAACTCAGCGACATCTTCTGAACTTGACCCAGCATTTGGTATGTTATTTATATCTTCAAGCAATCCAGTGCTTGCTGTTTTTTCACTGAAATGCTGATCCACTAGTCCAGGCTCAAATGTTGACAAGGAAGTTTCTGTCTCGCTTGGTGATGCAGGTTCTTCTGAATTTGCTTTCATTTCCTCTTCTCTCTCGTCCTCAAATGATGTTTCACCTGACTCCTCATCAACTTGGTCCTTTTGTAGTCCAGGTCCAGAAAGATCTTCTTCTTTAGACCTATCAGTGTCATCTGACATCACTGTCTCTATCCACAAATCAAGAATTTCTTCATCAATCACACCCTGATGTTCTCCAGCTGAGTGTTCTGAGTATCCCTCTTGTTTTTCTTCCACTGCTGAGATCAAGGGAAGCCCTTCAGATGTATTCAACTTTGGTTCATCAGTACTTTCTATGTCTGTTGTTACATCTGCCTGAGTCATCTCAGCCAATCTGTGTGGAGATTGATTAGTTTTCTCTAGATGTTGAGATGTTTCCCATTTTCCTATCATCTGATCAGCTGACATCCCCCCTAACTGGAGGGTTGTCATTTCCAGTTCCTCTTCATCAGTGCACCCTTGTTCTTCAGCGTCAAACTCCAACTGCAGAGGTTTGACGGCACTTACATCAAATAATTTAGATTTGATCTCTTCTGAGTTTTTCAAGTTACCATGATCATCCTGTAAACTAAAAGACTGTACATTTGGACCAAGGTTTATTCCTGTCCTCTTCTCTTGTCCCTCGAGGGATTCAGTAGATTCATCTGCAAAATCAGCCCCTTTATCAACTGTTAGAACTTCTCTTTTCCCAAAACCATCTATTGAAGCTTCTTTAGATAGCCTGGCAATTTCAAATTCAGCTGTTTCATCCTGCTGCCCAGTCTCATCCTCTGAGTATTCTTCAAATTCTTGATCCGATTGTTTAAACTCCGTCTTCATTGAGGTATCAACTATTTTGACCTTTTCCTCCTCAGAGAATTGTTCCAATTCCAGATTTATGTTGTCACTTTTTGGCTTCTCTGGATCTTCTACAAATCTTGGTGTTTCAGTCTGCTCCTTCTCAATGAATTCCAGCTCGTTTCTGCTATCCTCTGCACTGCCTTGTCCTATCGGTAAATATTCAGCTCCTCCTGTGCTGCTGCTTTTAAAGACCCCCACCTCTTCTGGTAAGTCTGTGTTTTGAATTTCCTCTGAATTTCCCTCTTCTAAGAAGCTTTGTGTGGAATTTGCATCTGATTCAAGGTCATTGTTGTACTCAGGAACTGCCTCTGGAGTTTCCTCATGTGCTTCAGCGTCGAGCTCGGCAGACTGGCCTTCTATTACCCCCAAGGGAATATTGTTAAAGCCTGTGTTTATTTCCCGTGCAGACTCGCCTTCAGCTATTACAGTAACAGGAGTGGTTATACAAACTCTTTCCACGCAACCCTCCTCATTGACTTCAATAGAGAGCCTCTCACCTGCTGCTATTTCAGTATTTTCATCTGTTGAAATATCTTCCATGGTCACATTTTTCTCTGTGGCATTTTGAAAAATGGTGTCCAGTAAATCCTCCTGTTTAAATGTGGTTGTCTCTGGAATTAAGACATTTTCCTCTTGCCCAACATCTTCAATTGTCATCTGGACGTTCTCATCAATAAGCTCATCTAATTCTTCAGTTTTCTCATCTGAGGCATGTTGTTTTTCAGGGCTAAACTGTAATGTGTCTTCAGAGATTATACCATCTTCCAGCATCACTACACCTGCTTCAATTTTCCTTTGCTCTCCTTCATTCTTCTCCTCCTCTTTGCTAACTGTGCATAGTTTTATCCCACTTTGTTTCTCAAAGTTTTGTTCATTTTCTTTTTCTTCATCTTCCTGAATGTTGCTTCTCTCTTCTCTTGAGTCTTTGGCTTCATCATCTTTTGGAGAACCATCTAGACTGACTGTGCTGTTAGGGTCCTCCCCAGCAGCATCTTTTTCATCTCTTTTTTCAACCTCTTCACATATTGCCTTTTTTCCTGTATCTGATCCAACACAAGCTTGGTCATCTTTGCTTTCAAAGACATCATGTCCTTCACAGGTCTGCAGATGTTGGACAACATTTATCTCTTGTTCATCATGATGTCCTGTCATGTCTTCTAAGTCTAAGTCTTCTGAGAAATGCTGCTCTGCATCATCTCCTTTTAGATCAAACTGTTCCTCTCCTGTGCCATAATCATCTTCACTGCTTGTAAGGTTTGGGGTTAAAACATTTTCATCGTGGAAATCTTCGGAAGCTCTGCTGCCAATTTGCGTGTGCTCTTCATCCATTTTAGACTTACTAGGTTCTTCTTCAGTGTCAGCAACCGAAACCCTCTCCTCCTCAGATGAACCTGACAACTCTTTGCAGACAAGCTGAGTTTCTGCCTGTCTTTTCTCCTTTGAGTTATCCTGTCTAGGCCTCAACTGTAAAGCATCATCACAGATCTGAGCATCTTCCAACCTGGCAGCAGAAACTTCCCCTTCCTTTTGCTCTCCTCCCTTTTCATTACTGTCCTCCTCTATGCTAATGGTGCACAGTTTTACCTCATGTTCCATCTCAATATCTTCTTCATTTTTTTCTAGTTTATCTTCTTGGATGCTATTAGCTTCATCCTTCAAGATTTCCAAGGCTTCATCCACAATTTGAGAACCATCTAGACTAACTGTGCTCTTAGGGTCTTCCCTGGGGGAAGCTTTTTCATCTCTTTTTTCAACCTCTTCACATATTTTCTTCTTTCCTGTTTCTGATCCAACACAAGCTTGGTCTTCTTTGCTCTCAAAGACATCATGTCCTTCACAGGTCTGCAGCTGTTGGATGACATTTATCTCTTGTTCATCATGATGTCCTGTCATGTCTTCTAAATCTAAGTCTTCTGAGAAATTCTGCTCTGCATCATCTCCTTTTAGATCAAACCGTTCCTCTCCTGTGCCATAATCATCTTCACTGCTTGTAAGGTTTGAGGTTAAAACATTTTCATCTTGGACATCTTCGGCAGCTCTGCTGCCCTTTTGCTTGGACTCTTCATCTATTTTAGACTTACTGGGGTCTTCTTCAGTGTCAGCAACCAAAGCCATCTCATCCTCAGATAAACCTGACAACTCTTTGCAGACAAGCTGAGTTTCTGCCTGTCTTCTCTCCTCTGAGTTATCCTGTCTAGGGCTCAATTGTAAAGCATCATCACAGATCTGAGCATCTTCCAACCTGGCAGTAGAAGCTTCCCATTCCCTTTGCTCTCCTCCCTCTTCATTTCTCTCCTCCTCTTTGCTAATGGTGCACAGTTTTACCTCATGTTCCATCTCAATATCTTCTTCATTCTTTTCTAGTTTATCTTCTTGTATGTTATTAGCTTTATCCTTCAAGTTTTCCAAGGCTTCATCCACAATTTGAGAACCATCTAGACTAACTGTGCTCTTAGGGTCTTCCCTGGGGGAAGCTCTTTCATCTCCTTTTTCAATCTCTTCACATATTGGTTCATTTACTGTATCATTTGATTCAACCTGAAGTTGATCTTCTGTGTTTTTAATATCTTCTTTTTCTACAAGAGTCTGTAATTGCTTTGTGTCCGTTTTTTCTATTTCTAGTTGATGTTCCATCATGTCTTCAGTGATCAGCTGCTCTGTACTGTTTTGTCCTGTTAGGCCAAACTGTTTCTCTCCTGTGCCAGGATAATTTTTGCTGCCTGTAACGTTTGGGGTGAAAACTGTTTTATCATGTTGGACATCTTCGGCTGCTCTGCTGGCCTTTTCCTCTGGCTCTTCATCTGTTTCAGACTTACTAGAGTCTTCCTCTTCAGGGTCAGCAATCCAAACCCCCTCATCCTTGGTCGAACTTGACAACTCTTTGCTGACAATGTGCAGAGCTTCTGAGTGTGTTCCATCTTCTGATTTATTTTCCAGTTCAGGGCTCAACTGTAAAGTCTCTTCATAAATGTTAGCATCTCCCAGCATCACTGCAGCACCTTCATCCTCCCTTTTCTCTTCTGTCTCTTCATTGCTTTCCTTCTCTTCGACAATGGTCCAAAGTTTTACCCCACTTTCTTCTTTAAAGTCCTCTTCATTTTCTTCAGCCTGGTCTTCCTTGATTTTACTGCTCTCATCCACCAGGACTGTCTCTTCATCCACTTGTGGAAAACCATCTAATCTCAATGTGCTCACAGTGTCTCCCCCAGCAGCAGCTTCCTCATCTTTTATCACCATCCCTTCACATATTAACACATTTTCAGTATGTGCTGATCCAGCCTTGGTTTGATCTTCTATGTTTTTAACTCCTTCTCTTTCAATAAACATGTTCAACTGTTGAATGCCACTTATCTCCTGTCCAATTTGATGACCAGTCATTTCTTCAGTGATCAGCTGTTCGGTGCTAATATTTTCTTTTAGGCCAAACTCTTCCTCTGCCTTGCCACGGTCATCTTCACATGCTGTAATACTTTGGGTTTCCGCAGTTTCCACTTTTTGGACATCAATAACTGCTAGGCTACTCTTCATATTAGGCTCTTTATGTTTTGCAGACTCATTTGGCTCTTCCTCTATAATGTCAGCAACCCGGACACTCTCATCTTCGGCCAAAATTGACAACTCTTGGCAGAGAGGGTGCTGGGTTTCTGTTTGGGATTTTTCCTGTTTAGAGCTTAACTCTAAAGCATCTTCACATATCTTAGCATCTCCTGGGATCACAGTCGGGGCCTTGCTCTCTATTTGTTCTCCTGTCTCTTCATTGCTGTCCTCCTCTTTGCTAACGCTACACAATCTTTCCTCTTCCACTTTTCTTGAGTTTTCATTATCTTCTTCTTTATCAACTTCCATATTACTGTTCTCATCCTCCATGTCTTCCTTTGCTTGTTCCACGTCTTGAGAACCATATAGTGTTAATGTGCCCACAGAGTCTTCCCCAGCCACAGCTACTTTATTTATTTTTTTGATCTCTTCACATATTTCCTCATTTACAGTATTTTTTGATCCAGCGTTAGCTTGGTCTTCTGTTTTATCAACACTCTCTTCAACACAAATGTGCAACTGTGTTATCTCTGGTCCAACTTGTTCTGTGATGTCTTCAGTGATCATCTGCTCTGCGCTATCATGTGCTCTTGGGCCGAATTGGTCCTCTCCTGTGCTAGGATCATCTTCTCTGCCTGCAGGTTTAAGGGATACAACATGTTCCTCTTGTTGGACATCCTCAACAGCTCTGCTGCTCTTCTTCTGCTCTGGCTCATCATCTGTTTTGGACTTACCAGGGTCTTTTTTTTCATCCTTGGCAAAGCCTGAAAACTCTGAAAACTCCAGGCTCAACTGTTGTGAATCTTGACAGATGTTAACATCTCCCAGCATCACTCCAGTAGCTTTAATGTACCTTTGCTCTCCTGTCTCTGCATTGCTTTCCTCCTTCTCTGCTGAGCTGCAGTCTTTTATCTTGCTTTCTTCCTCCAAGCCTTCTTTTTTTTCTTGTCCATCGTCTTCCTGGGGTTCCTTCATTGTTTCCACCACTTTTAGACATTCATCCAGTCTTTCTGCGCTCACGTGTTCCACTTCTTCAACTCTTGAGTCCATCTCATCACTCACTACATCCTTTAACAGCACATGTCCAGATCCAACAGTAGCATGTTCCTCGTTGTTTTCAGTCGTCTCATTTTCCTCATATGTGTCTGAGTTTTTTTTCTCACTTTTTTCTTGTCTCTCTTGACATGCATTTTCACCCTCTGATTCTGCATGGTCATTTCCTGTAAGACCAAACTCTTCCTCTCTCATGTCCTCCTTGTTCTCTTGGTCTTGTTTAGGCTTAACATCAACATCTGCAATGCACTGCTCCCAGGGAACAGCTGGTGAGGATGAACTCAGAAGAGAAACTGTCTGAAAAGGCTGTTCCTCGCAGGTTTCTTCACCGCTGGTGTCGGTTCCCGTTTGCCTACCGCCAGGAGCTTCATCATCCACATTTGATTCCTGAATAGAGTTTGGGTCATTGTTGGCTGTTTCAGCTGGTTGTGGCCTTAGGAATCTGCTCACGGCTTCAGTTATGTAACACTGGGGAAGAGATTGAAAAAACTGTTATTAAGCTGTTGTGATACAGTTTAGTTATGAGCTCTCACAGAGAGAGATAAGAACACACTTAGTTCCCCCTTGTATAATTTTAGTGTGGCAATGCACAAGGCTATTTACACAATAGTGTCCCCACAGCTTTGCAGGCGGATTGTTAAAGACCTTTTCCTGTTTTACAACAACAATACTTCTATACACAAAGCAAGATTCATAAACGGATATCTGAGTTTGCAAGAAGTGGCCTTCACTGATTTCTGATTTGATAACTCAGATCTCCTTCACATTAGATTCAGGCTGTGTTGTCAAAATACATGCTTGCTCCCCTGATGGAGGTGCAAAACACATTCAGGATTTAAGCTCTTGAGCAAAGTATATTGTTATGATGGGAAACGTAGAATAGACTGAAATTTTTCCTATGCCTGTGCAGAGATTACACTGGTTATGCCTTGAGTGTATAAGCTGTTCAGTCTCTAAATTCCTTACAGGTAAAAAAAATACATAAGATGTTAAGGAAAATGTTAAGAAATGCTCTAAGTAGAAAAGAAGTTCAGATACTTTCAGTAGTAAAGTAGGATGCTGCCTACTAAATTAAGTGTACTTCATTATAATGAATCCCAGATTTAAAAGAGAGGGATTTCTGCTGTGATATCTGTGTTTGAAAGTCTTATTTTGAAGTTAGAAAGGGAGTATGCTGCATTTTTGTTTGTTTGTCTTACTGATAAAGCATCTTTAACAGTCATCTGTGTTGAAGTGTAACTTAGTTTTGTAGAAAAGGGAAATGATGATGAAGTGCACTCTGAGACTACAGCAACTAGACAAACACTAGCTGCTATAATGTGGCTAAAGCTGGCGCCAATGGTATTGAGACAACGTTAAATCACATCACAGCTCATGCACATGAACGTGTACATGTATGTATATCATGTCTAGTTTAAAATATAAAATACCTACACTGGCCAAACTTATTAATTCTACCTTTAACACAGATTCATTCAAATCTATATAACTAAATAATAAATAAATTCAAGCTTCATTTATTCTTGCTCCCACATGCCTTTTTTGGCAATAGAGCCACTTTTGATTTATAAGTTTCAAAACATATAATAAGTTAAACTAAAAAGATTTATTGTACACCTTTTACAGATTCTATAAACACTATTTGTGTTTTGTAAAACCATTACATACAGTGAGGTAAATAAGTGTTTGAACACCCTGCTATTTTGCAAGATCTCATCGTAGGTGCATGTCTACAGTGAGAGTTATGATTAAAAATACTGAATTACAATGTATGCATTTTTCTACTATTTATTTGTATGATACAGCTGCAAATAAGTATTTGAACACCTGAGAAAATCAATGTTAATATTTGGCACAGCAGCCTTTGTTTGAGGCCAAATGTTTCCTGTAATTTTTCACCAAGTTTGCACACATTGCAGGAGGGATTTTGGCCCACTCCTTCACACAGATCTTCTTTACAGGTTCTGGACTGCTTCTGAGAAAGTTTGAGCTCCCTCCAAAGATTCCCTATTGGGTTTATGTCTGGAGACTGGCTAGGCCATGCCAGAACATTGAGATGCTTCCTACAGAGCCACTTCTTGGTTATTCTGGCTGTTTGCTTCGGGTCATTGTCATGTTGGAAGACCCAACCTCGACTTACTTAAATGATCTAACTGATGGGAGAAGGTTGTTCCCCAAAATCTCGCAATTCATGGTCCCATCCTCTCCCTAATACAGTGCAGTCGCCCGGTCCCACGACAGAAAAATACCCCAAGACATGATGCTACCACCACCATACTTCACACTAGGGATGGTGTTCTTGGGGTGGTACTCATCATTCTTCTTCCTCCAAACACGGTTAGTTGAATTATGATCAAAAAAGTTATTTTGGTCTCATCTGACCACATGACTTTCTCCCATGACTCCTCTAGAACATCTATGGTCATTAGCAAACTTAAGAGAGGCCTTGACATGTACTGGTTTAAACAGGGGAGCCTTCCTTTCCATGCATAATTTCTAGCCATGATGTTTTAGGGTATTACAAACAGTAACCTTGGAAACGGTGGTCAAAACTCTTTGAGTAGCTCCTCCCATGTTGTATGTTTAGCTTCTTCCATTTTCTAAATATTGCTCAAACAGTGGACCTTTTATCACTAAGCTGCTTGGCAATTTCCCTGTAGCCCTTTCCAGTCTTGTGGACGTGTGCAATTTTGTCTCTAGTGTCTTTGAGCTCTTTGGTCTTGGCCATGTTAGTATCGTATTTTCACGACTATAAGGCGCACTTAAACATCTTTTTTTTCCCTCAAAATGTGCAGTGCGCCCTATGGTGCGGTGCGCCCTATGTGTGTTGTAACTGCGACTTTTGAGACCACCTCATTGAGGAGATGATGAAAGAGTGGCTGAATGTAAGGAGACCAGGTGTTTTTTTTCCACTCATCACCATCGCTGTTAATATGTAACTCCATGCGTGCTCATCTCACAGCTGATGTGAAAAACATGGGAAAACAAATTAACGCTGTGCTCGCTGTTCAACCGCTCGACATCGGTGTGAACCGGACCCAGCAGGTGCAGCAGAAGCAGCGAGTTTACATGCAAAGTCAATGGTTGACGCGCGTATAGGTGCAGCAAAAGGTCCCGCAGCGCGTTTTGAGCAGCAGGCGCAGCTCGTCGGGAGCGTTTAAGCACCTGACGCACCGCCAACGCGCTGCTGCTGCTCGAGATGGAAAAATTTAAGTTTTGCTGCTGGACGCGCCGCATCAACCAATCAGAGAAGCTGATCTGGGAGCTGACAGCGAGACAGACACAGCGCTCTGATGACATATGATATTAACGCAAATGAAAAAGGCTGGATGGATGAGGAGATGATGAAAGCGTGGCTGAGGCAGGTGTATGTGAGGAGACCAGGTGGTTTTTTTCCACGCATCACCATCGCTGCGTGCCCATCTCACAGCCGATGTGGAAAAAAAAGGTGAATCAAATGAACGCTGTGCTCGCCGTTATCTCGGGGGGTCTGACAAAGGAACTTCAACCGCTCGACATCGGTGTGAAGCGGCCGTTCAAAGTAAGGCTGCGAGCGGCGTGGGAGCGATGGATGACAGACGGAGACCACAGTTTCAGGATAAGTGGAAGGCAGCGCCGGGCAAGTTACGCCACCGTTTGCGGATGGATTGTAGATGCTTGGACTAACGTGTCTGCTGGCTCTGTTGTTCAAGCTTTCGCAAAAGCCGGCATTATTTCTGAGGAGCCGCGCTGCACGGAAAGTGACTCTGACAGCGAAGAAGGGGAAATTGGCATGTCTGATTTAGCGCAGCTGTTTAATTCAGAAACAGAGGATGATGACTTTGATGGGTTTGACTAATACTTTGTAATAAATACATGAATAAAGCACAATCATACTCAGTTTTGCTACCGCTCTATTTTTCTACCTGAAAACTTAATTCAACAGCAGCCTCTGGGCCCGGTCTCCTCCGCGTATACCGCGGTAGCTGGCAGGTGTTTTTTCATCTAAATAATCTAAATCTTGCAGCTATATTTGCTGTGATCAGTGGGAATAAAGTAGTTTTAATATGTTTTTAAGTTAGAAAGTCCACCTGAAAACTTAAAGGTACACTATGCAACCGGTGTTGATTTTCCAGTGAGGCTCCCTCCAGAGGGCGAAGGTAAAAGTGCACTGTCGTAAATATGCACAGCTGTTCTCCTGGTTTCTCCGTCAAGCCAGGCGCGGTTGTTTTGAGCTTAGCAGCTGCGTTCACACTGGACGTAGCTGGCGCGACAGAAGCAGCGAGTTTACATGCAAAGTCAATGGTTGACGCGCGTCAAGGCGCAGCAAAAGGTCCCGCGGCGCGTTTTGAGCACCAGGCGCAGCACGTCTGAGCAGCTGAAGCAGCGCGTCGGGTGCGTTTAACGCAGGGAGAGAGACACAGCGCTGATGATCACTCCTCTTAAACAGTTTATTGACGCCTAAATTAACTTAAAATGCAGAAATCTGCCGGCAGAATATGCAGTTTGGATTATTTAGATGAAAAACACCTACCAGCTGCCGCGGTGAACCGCTGCTGATGAAGGGATCCATACTGTCGGCGCCCCGCTGGTATGTGGGGGTCTGAGCGGCTCCGACAGAAAAAATATTGAAGGCAGGATAATAATCTGAATGAACTGACTGCACTGATTACGTTTTCAGGTGTATTTTCTCACTTAAACACATATTAAAACTACTTTATTCCCACTGATCACAGCAAATATAGCTGCAAGGCAGAGAAAGGATAGTGAAGCTCCGCCCAACGCGCCTCAGACACAGCCAGAGCAGCAAAGCTGCTTCAGCCACGCGTCAGAACTAACCGGTACAAGCAGCAAAAAGGAAGCAGCAGACGCGATTTTGCTGCTTTTGCTGCGTGAACGTAGCATAACTGCACAAAGATCGCCACTGTGCTAGCAACGAGAATGCCTTTAACTGGGGGCGTGTAGCAGTTCTCGCCATAAAGCAAGACTGACTCTCACGAGACTTCTGAGCCTGTGGGTGCGGGTCGGTGCTCCTGCAGTTGCAAGTGCAGTATTTCCCCCACAGACCACCAGGGCGGCCGAGAATACCTTTGTTCAACCTGAAATGACTCATTTAGTCATCCATAACGTTATGGAACACATTAATTAACTGAAAAATGTTGCATAGTGTCCCTTTAATAATTGCAGTCAGTTCATCCAGATTATCTATTTCTGTCGGAGCCGCTCAGACCCCCACATACCAGCGGTGCACCGACAGTAGAAATCCCTTCAACAGCAGCCTCTAGGCTGGGCAGCCTCCGGGTTCACGCGGTGGCTGGCAGGTGTTTTTCATCTAAATAATTTAAACTGCAGGCACCAGGATACCGGTAATAAAAGCGAACATATTCCGTCGGCAGGTTTCAGGATTTTAAGTTAATTTAGGAGTCATCACAGCGCTGTGTCATCTGCGATGTGTCTGTCTCACGGCCAGCTCCCAGGTTTGATTAATACTTTGTAATAAATACATGAATAAAGCACAGTCATACTCAGTTTTGCCCCCGCTGTATTTTTAAATACGCAGTAGAGGTATTTAAAGGTAGTAGAGGACATGTACCTGTATATAAAAAGCGCGCCCTATAGTCCGGTGCGCCTTATGTGTGTGTTAAATACAGAAATGGGACACATAACTGAGAGTGCGCCTTATAGTACGGTGCGCCTTATGGTCGTGAAAATACGGTAGTTGGATTCTTACTGATTGTATGGGGTGGACAGGTGTCTTTACGCAGCTAACGACCTCAAACAGGTGCATCTGATTTAGGATAATAAATGGAGAGGAGGTGGACATTATAAAGGCAAACTAACAGGTCTTTTAGGGTTAGAATTCTAGCTGATAGACTGGAGTTCAAACTTATTTGCAGCTGTATCATACAAGTAAATTGTTAAATAAATATATTGTGATTTCTGTTTCTTAGTTTTTTTTAGATTATATCTCTCACTGTGGGCATGCACCTATGATGACATTTTCAGACCACTCCATGATTTCTAAATGGGAGAACTTGCAAAATAGCAAGGTGTTCAAATATTATTTTCCTCACTGTATAAAAAAAACAACAGCATATGTTATACTTTGAAATGCTGGGTACAAAAATCTTCCTTTGTCAATTCAATAACATGAATTTTCTCATCCTTTGACCTGAATAAGTTTAAGTCATTATTATAAAAACAGACATAATTCATAATAATTACAAGATACTGCAGCATCTCAGGTATGTAGGTTATCATGATCCTATAATTATCACTTTGGCCGGAATGGGCCTCTGTAGTTTATACCCCTCTTATAAAACATACACAGTAAATTCCACAGTGTCAATGTACACTTAGAGTAATTAAAAATACAACTATAGATTTAACTCCAATTCAGACTGGGGAAAAATGCACTCAGCTTGGTGTTAAATTTCACTCTTTACCGCTGCAAAAAATACTGTGCACATAGGTGCAAATGTCTGATTATTCATTTCAAAATTAAATGAAAACTGAAGAAAGGTGTATCAAGCTAAGCAAAAAGTAGTTTACTTAAAGTAAATTCTATTAAGAATACCTAAGTATAAGTATAAGTTTATAAAGTATACCGAACAATGTACTTTCAGTGTACTTCAAGTATTACTAAAGTAATACTTCTTCGAACTAATTTGGGACATTTTTTAGTTTACTACAGTATACTTAAAGTATACTGTAGTAAACAATAAAGTAAACAATAGTCAAGTACACTTGACTATACTATTGTTAAGTATATGAAAAATAGTTTAGAATAAGTCAACTCTAAGTGCACTGCCTGACTTTAAGTATGAAATTAGTGCACTTTTATTATACTTGAATAAACTACTTTTTGCTAAGGGAGAGTTAATTTAACTCCAATTTAGAGTGGGGAAAAATGCACTCAGCTTGGTGTTAAATTTAACTCTTTAAGTGTTACTTTAACGCTGCAAAAAATACTGTGCACATAGGTGCAAATGTTTGATAATTTATTTCAAAATTAAATGAAAATTGAAGAAAGGTGCTTAAGGCTAAAAGTAGTATACTTGAAGTAAATTCTATTAAGAATACTTAAGTATAAGTATAAGTTTAGAAAGTATACTGAACAAAGTACTTTTAGTGTACTTGAAGTATTACTAAAGTAATACTTCTTCGAACTAAATTGGGACATTCTTAAGTTAACAATAAAGTAAACAATAGTCAAGTACACTTGACTATACTATTGTTAAGTATATGAAATATAGTTTAGAATAAGTAAACTCCAAGTGCACTGCCTGATTTTAAGTATGAAATTAGTGCACTTTTAGTATACTTGAATAAACTACTTTTTGCTAAGGTTAAAGATGCAGGTGTGAAGAGGGGAGGAGTAAACACAGAACATGCATGTAGGATGTTTGTGTGAGACTATTGTCAGAAATGATTAAACAGGAAGAGACTCGTGAAACTTTCACGTCACGTCACAACTTTAAACTGTAAAATCAAACTTCTGTAAGAAAATAATACAGATGCTCACCCAGACTGATACCAGGGTCCTCTCCACCCTGGAAAAGGGGCTGTCAGGCTCCGGGTTCATCCTTGCACCTCCTTCCTTGTTGAACTGTTTACATCAAACAGAAGAAACAGCACATCTGTTTAAATCCTGCGCTATGTGATGATCGGATGCTTCACCTCAAAGCTGCTCCTAGACGCTCCTGTCTCTGCGGGGGTCCTGTGATAGGTGCACTTCCGTTTTTTGGCGCGTGTCCGGTGCGTTATGACCAGGAAGAGGCTGATTCCTGCTGAGCGGTCAGGCGAGCAGATGCGCTGCACAGTTTGCGGATGTAAACAGCGCTTCTGTGACACATCAGACCACTAAAGAGCGTGTGATTAGTTGCTGGGCTGCAGAGAGAAATGCAGCTTTAAAATAACTTTCTGCAGAAGAAGGACCAGTGCATGAATTAATGCATTCATTAAGACTAAGTTTATTTAAATTTTTCCAGCTTATTTTTTATGCTTAGGCTTATTAATCAGCCTGTGAAGACATTTGTAGAGGTTATCTATTAGAGAAGTGGCTGAAGGTGATAAACGAGATTGCACAGGTTGTATCTGCAACAGTTCATGCTTTAACAACAACCTAAAACCCATTTCTTTATTTCTACTTCTGTTTCTGTCACTCTGCGAAGAGAAGTGACACAGAGAAGTTAAGAATCTTATTTCAAATACAGAGCTATGCACGGGTTACTCACTTACAGGTTTTGATCCTTTATTGTGACTGTTAAACGTTTCAGACAGGCATAACAAATGTTAGAATAAGAAAAAAAAAACACAATAAAATTTTTCCAAATATGATATAAAAGTCGAAAGTCATCCAAACCACTTAGCCTTTTTTTATTTGGTTTGTTTTGTAATGAACAGGTTTCCCCCTCTTGTGGCAACAGCAAGTCATTAAAGGAGAAATTACACAAATCTTTGCTTTAATACATCTAAGCTGGAGGTTTTTGGAGAAATTTCTGTCTGGTAAAAAACTAGAACTAGCGCACTTCAATCCAAGACCTTCATTTTTTGTTTTAGTGAAGCATTAAGTACACTTTTTAGGTATCTATGCTTTACTCCATTACTTATTTTTCCTTCTACTTCGTACTTCTACTCATTATATTTTCACACAAGTTTCTGTACTTTCTATTCCTTACATTTTTAAAGCAAACATTACTCATTATTCTTGGCTTGGGTTAAATGTTTATAAATATTTATTTCACCTCCTGTGCGCCATCCAATGCAGATCATTGGCTCCATCCACATCTATTGAAAACTAGTTTAATTGGATGAGTCATATAATGCAAACACTCATTGGTTAGCTAATGAAAATCATCAGAAGCAAGCAGGTGTTCTTCAAACTGTAAACGTGAATTGTCTATGCCATGCTACAATGTCGGATTCAGAAAAAGATGTTGGAATGTCTGAAAGGTGGCACACTTTTACCAGAGTGTTTTTAAACTGCAGTATCTATACTTCTACTTAAGTAACAAATGCCTGCACTTTTGACATCACTGCATAACTAGGGCAGAGCAGCCCAAAACCATCAAACATCATCACTCACCGTCACTGTTTAAAAGTTGTGTTAATGAATCCTTATCTGAACAGTGTTAATAGTTTTATCTGGTAGATGTGAGGATGGACACCTACCTAAAAGCTCCACTTTTGTCTTATTTTTCCTCGTAATACGTTCTTCAAAGTTTAGTAGAACATTAAGATGCATTTTTTTTTCTTTATATTTAGCTTGTTTTGCAGTTTTGTTTTCAGAGGTCTCCCTAGCGGACATAACTTTTTTTTTTTTTCCATTCTCACTTTCTTATTGTTGAATTATGAACTTTGACCTTAAGGAAGCCATATAAGGCCTGCAGAGCTTTAGACGATGTTCCTGGTTATTTGCTTACCTCCCAGATGAGTCATTGATGGGTTCTTGGAGTAGGTTGGTTGATCATATGGTTCTGGGAAAGTACATCTCTGTTCCCTATTTTTCTGTGTCATGGAAGATGGTTCTAGTCGCTATAGTTCCCTGGTATCTCAAACCCTAAAGAAGTTGCATTGTAACCCTTTTCTGGGCAGACAGATGTAAATAACTTTTTTTTTCATAGTTAGGCATGGTATTTTGCTTCAAGTTATTTTTTAGTTTGACCAGTCATGCAGCTGATAGGAGTTAAAGAGAACTGTCATTGCCGGTTTCCTCTAAGCTGTGGGCTGCTCAAACCACCAGTAGCATGGCCCACTTCCAGTAAAGTTATGTGTGAAAGAGAAACAATTATTAGAATGTTAGAATGTGCTGCAGTATTACCATAACAATTTAAAAGGTTAACAGAACTTTCATCAAAATAAAAAAAATAAAAAATACAACCAGACATATTTTTAAAGAACTATTTTTTTCTGTCTTGTAACTAAGAAAAATGAAGAGGCCCTTATTACTTTCTATGTGTTTCTTATTCTTAACTTTTCAACTCGATACCGATACTAAGGAAAATATTCGATACTCGATACCATTTTCGATACCACATGGATAAAAAGACTCCAAAATTCTACAGAAATATTTTCATTAATAAATAAAATACAATAAATAAATACAATAAAGGTTGTAGGCTGTGCACAATATTAAGCAAGCTTGATAAAAAACTTATAAAATTAAAATGAAGTGTTCCTTCCTTGGTTATGCTTTGCAGACATAACAATGACACTAGCCAAACCGGTTATGAAACAAAAATAATTCTCAGCAGCTGCACCTCTTACAAAAAAAAAGTCTGGAACTGAAAAGTTTACAGAATTATTCAATCACACAGTTTTCTGAATGTGCATTGTTCTCTATTCTGCACTTTAGATGAATGACTGCTTATGAATGACTGTATCGATACTTTTAAAAACAAGTATTGTATCCGGATAAAACGTTTCAGTATCGATACTTTTTTGAGTTTCGATACTTTTGACAACCCTAGTTTCTTATGATTTTATGCAAACCACTTTTTATTGCTTTTTTGCTGAAGTCGCCCTTTCAAATTAACCTGCATCTCCTTCTTTTTAGCCAGTTGATGAAATGTGTGCAGCAAAAGTGATTACTTCATGCAGGAAGTAAAAACTCCATCCAAAGGATGGGTTTTCAAATTGCTGGGGTTGATTTTTACTTTGTTTTCGCCATTTAATATGTTTAAACATTATGTTCTACACCGCCATTATTCAGCCTCTCGTGTGTTCCTCCATCACTGTTTGGTTTCAATCAGAATAGGACAGCCCTGCAGAAAGGATCATTAGGTCGACCTTCCCTCCATTCACTTCCTCTCCATCCCTAAGGTCAGGAAAAGGACAGTATAGTGACCCCTCTATATGTGCAAGATAGCATCCATGTCTCCACAAGAAAAAAACATTTTTGTTTCTCATGCATTTCAGTAAAAAAAAAAACTTAACTGAGATCAAAGGGGAGTATCAGAAGATAAATTTCTTGTTTATGTGCACAAGCTTAAAATAAAAAGCAGATTGTATTTAAAACCTTGATAAGCCTCAACTCTATGGCAATCTCAAGCCTAGCTGGTAATAAAAAAATTATTTCACATCCACTGTATAAATAATCCTTATGTAAAGCTTTCCTGTTTAAATGGTAAAAGTCCAGCTTATATAAAGATGGTGCAACAGTATCAGAACATCTATTCCTGTACCATTGGTATTTAACTACATCCTATGATAGCTTAGAGATGATTTAAGCATAACTAGCTGCTGTGTGTGTTTGTGTAGAGCCTTTTTGTAAATAGGTACACCACAGCCTTGCAGCACCTAACACCTAGCAAAGAGCTGTTCTCGTGGTCAAGGCAGGAAAAAAAAACCAGAAGTATATTTTGAAACAAGAACTAATATTGGCAGGGCACAGTAACAGCTACAACTTTTGCACGTAACTTGAAACAACACAGAGCTGCAGTTCCTGTGTTGAAATCTTTAAAGATGGAAGAGAAGAAACGATTCAGCTTTAACATGATTTTAGTCTTTATTTTATTGTCAGCATCTTTATACAAAAATAACATCTTTTGTGGGAGAAAAAATACAGTTTAGAAAAAAAAAAGTAAAAGACGAGAGACTAAAGATATAAATAAACCCTGATTCAACAAGAAACAAGAAACATATGATATGCATAATGTGATTTATGTTATGTCTTGTAGATAAATATTAGATACAGTAGAAGTGAAGGAAAATAAGGAAGTTATGTTGAGGGTCTTCTTCATGCGGAGGATGAAATTTCCTCATTGGCCTCTGAAAGAGAATTTCACAAAGAAGAACAAACTTTGTGTTGATTCAGGGAGTTTATTATAGTTTGAGTAACAAAAAAAACGTTGCTAGTCATGTATTTAACCATCAACATTTCCGTTTTGCTCTCAGGAAATAACATGCACTCTATCAGATTTAAAAGTAGTGTCATTTCATATGATGTGGTTCAAACGCCATATTCTTTTATGTACTGTGTATTTTATACTGTGGCTTTGTCTGGAAATAACAGTCAATCTATATATATTTTTCAGGTCTCTTAAAGAGTTTTCAGCAAAATGAGTTTAATACTGATAAGCATAGATGTAATGTTCAATTCTGAAGCAACACGAGTGGTTATCTGGGTCAAACAAGCCATCACTGGCGCATTTCTACTAATAATCTAAAACACATGACCTCCCTGATTATATTGGAAGGATTTAAAAAGGATCAAACATTGACAGGACCTAAAGAGCTTGACTTTAACAGGATTTTTGTTGGAGTTTTGAATAAATTACATAAAAATCCCATTCTGTACCAACAGTCTGTGAACCAGCTGATCATCAGTTTTTTTTGATTGATTGATTGACTAATCTAATATTCATGCCAGTAAGCTCTGCTTAGTGGATCCACTAGATGACAGTATAACCACTGAACACTGGATATCAGATGTGTGAAAGAAGGTTTGCTGCTGAGACACACATAAACACATTGGATTTGATTATTTCTTACATTTTATTGGAATGTGTGAATACACACATAAAAAGTATTGGGTCCATTTTTTCCTCTGCTTCCCTGTCAGACCAATGTGTTAGTAATACAGTTTTATCAGAGAGACTAACCACTTTAGCACAAATGTTATTCAGCCGTTGTTTGTTTGGATTATTATTTTAGATAAGGCAATCATTATTTAAGTATATCAGTCTTACCTGTCCAGGTTCGATAAACTGGAATGTGGAGTGCAGGGTGTGTGATCTCCACACACACTCTCAGGCACGACTTCTCGCTCTCTCTGAGATCCGCCCTCAGGTTGACCTTGTTGATGTGGAGCGCGCTTGTGTCGGCCTTTGCTTCTTTGTAACTGTCCTCCTCCTCCTCCTCTTCTGATATAGTTTCCTCATATCTGTCCATGTCTTTATTGTCTCCATCCACTTTCTCATCAATGTATTGTATCTCTTCAGAGTCGGGGTCTGTGACGGCAGCTTTTGTTTCTGAAAGAGGAATTGCATAACACAAGGAATGTAAGATCTTCAGAAAGGGTGGCTCAAGTTTTTTCAGTGAATTTTGTTAATAATTAACTGATCTGTTCCTCATATTAGAGATATGGATATCTTGAACTCTAGATTGTTTTCAGAGAAAGCAGTTTACCAAAAGTATTCAAACTGCTTTTGTCATGTTAAAACTACAAAATTTGGTGTGTTTGACAGGGTATGACCTGCAAGGAATCATCCATCCATCCATCCATCCATCCATCCATCCATCCATCCATCCATCCATCCATCCATCCATCCATCCATCCATCCATCCATCCATCCATCCATCCATCCATCCATCCATCCGTCCATCCATCCATCCATCCATCCATCCATCCATCCATCCATCCATCCATCCATTCATTCAATCTAAGCTTGACAAAAACTGTGTGTGTGTGCAGACCTCTGAAGTAGACCATGTTTAGGCCACTCCAGAACATTAGCATCCTTTCATCTAAACCACAGGTTGACATGTGGTTTTTCTCTTTGGTCAAACATGTTTAAAATCAGAATCATTTACCTCCTGCAAAGTTTGCACTACTTTTTGTTCTGTCTGTGCAATAAAAACCAAATGAAACACACTGAAGTTTGCAGCTGCAATGTGGCTCAAGTGTACAAAAGTTCAAAGGTCCATAAATACTTTTGCAGCACACTTTAGATGTGTCTTATATGGAAGGTATGTACTTATTGCTTGGCTACTCCTGCGTCTCTCTGACAGCTTTTCAGGTAAACTTGGGAGACTTGTGGACTTCTCCAGGGCGCAGACACTTTTCAGCTCTCTCTGTCCATCATCTCCTATCTCCTCTGTCTCACTGGACACTAATGGTGAGAGTGTATGCCCCCCCGCTGCCCAGAGTATTTTGGCCTTTGGATGCCCTCTTTTCAGCACGATGGAGAACACCCCAACACCTTCGCTGCTCCAACAAACTGAAACCGATGGAGGAATGGTCGGAGCAGCTAAAGAAGTGGAAAATGAAGGAAAGGGTTAAAACTTAAACTTGAATAATTTTTTTCACCAAATACTCTAAAATAATGTTTCACACCATTTTCCCCGTTTCTCCAGTGTTTCACTATTGGCTCTTTGAGGGAGCAATGCTGGACTCTACAAGTGACACCACCCGCTTTGTCCCTTTTCTCCTGAGGGTTTGGTTTTCTCTTTAGCGTAGCTGTTGCTCTGAAGAGTCTGGGTTGAGTTTGTATGGGGCCCCAAAGCTCTCCTCCCTCTATCACCTCCTCTTCTCTGTCATCTTCCTCCCCACCTCTAAGCTTCAGCCAAGTGACTGAAATGTTTGGGGGGTAGAAATCTGTAATCTCACATCCCAGACTGAAGGTCTGATCAGAGGCATTGGTGAAGCTGATGAGGTCAGACACACATGGTCTTTTGATGAAGCCTAAAAGCAAAGAATGGTTTTGAACATGTTCATCTTATTCACACATATGATATATATTTAAGCATGAGTTTTTATTATCTATTTTGGGCACCTCTAGTCTCACGGGTGATCGGCTGCTTCAGGGCGATGTGGTGCACGCTCACCCACACCTTGGTAGCTCCCTTTTCCACCTCACTCCGGGGAAGTTTGCACTGACTGAAGGCGGAGAAGAAGCCCTCTGAATTAGGCCGAGGTGACGACGAGGCCTTGGAAGCCACGGGGCTGAGCTCCCCGCCCTGACAGAACCAGCGGAAGGTGATGACATCTGGGTGAAACTGTGTCGCCCGAACTGTCATGCTGATGACATCTGAGAGGCAATGGCAGCAAGAAGGAAACTTTGTAAAAACGTAAGACTAACGTATGCCATGTAACATCAAAACCACAAACCTAAACAAATTTTGTCGAGATAGACCAGGAGTTTGTAAAAGATGAAATCCAAAGAGCCATCTGCCCTCAGTTCAACTAAATGAAACTTGGAGCCTCAGGGATTACGTACATGACCTTTTAATAAAAGACATTATTTTTCATAAATAAAAATAAATAAAATAAATATCTATATCTATGATATATATCATATGTGGGCATATATACATAAAAAACAAAACTTAGTTTGGTTTTTTTCTATCATTTCAGACTAAAGTTCTTTGGAGCTATCATTAAGAGAACAAAAAGCCACTCATAGTTGATATAAGAGGAAGATATTTTGAAAAGAAGCATAGTCTCTGGAGTTGCAAAGCTAGTAGAGATACCAATGTTGATCTAACTTTTTGAATTTTCAACTCTAAAGGTGGAGAAGGCTTTGTATAATGATCCTTAGGGTTCTAAACAAGTTTTTGGTTTGTTTATTGTGTGAAATCTGAATTAAATATTTTAAAGATTGTGTTTGTAGCATTAAAAATATCTGAAGAAATGCAAAGAGTGTGAATACTTTTGCAAGCAAGCACAGAAACAGATATTTTCACATTTAGATTGATATCCTTCATATTTACCTGGGTTATTTTCTGTGTCTGCCAGCTGTATCTCAGAAACCTCTGGAGGAGCTGTTTATAAATACAATTTATAGTTACATTCAGATTGTAACAAAAATGAAATATATTTATGTATTCACTTTTCTTACAGAGTATAGTAAACCTCTCTGACACTCTTTCCTCCACAATCTTGTCCTTGCCCACATAGGAAACATGACACTTAAAGACAGCACCCTTGTGCAGAGATATTTGGGGGACGAAGGTGAGAGCGGAGATCAGGTGAGACCCCTTCCCAGAGGAGTGGAGTGGCCCCTGAGTGTGCAGCTTGTAGTACCCCATCTCTCCTCTAGAGGTCAGGAGAGGACCTTTCTCTGAAGCTGGGGAGGTGAGAGTTAGACCAGAGGGGAGATGGATGGTGGTTAGGGGAGTGTAAAGGCAATTAAAGTTAGACCTGGAAGTCCCTATATGCATTTAATGCAGGGGGATTATGGAGACATTAGTGAAAAGAGAGTCAGTTAAACATGCAGCTTCATCAGTTCACATATTTTACCTTTACTCCTGTAAAGTTGCTTGCATGATGTAAAGATATAATATTTCTTTCCTTGAAAAATATATTTGACTGAAATACATATTTTTATAAGTTAACACCTAATATACAAAACACTTTGCCTTATTTATATGTTTTACTTTAAAAAACACAAACAAGTCAGTTCCTGTTTTCCTTAAAATAAAAAATGCTACTTCACTTTATAAATACATTCAAAGCGTCCCAACCTGTAAGTGAGGTGTCACTGATGGGAGTGTCATTGAGAAACCATGTGGTCTGCACCCTGTCCACCCGTCTGCCCTCGATGCTGACGCTCACCCTCCCCTTTTGACCCACAATGACACGGGGCGGGAGGATGATTCTTGACACCGTGAGTGACTTCTGTTTCTCTGAGTGAGGTAAGATGGAGCAAATAAGAGCATTAGAGATAAAAGGTGAAAACAAAGAGGAAGGAATCTAAATAAGGACAGTTGCTTCATTGAGCGTGATGCCTTACATAAGACCCTGATTGCAAATTCCATGATGTGCCATTCAGCCAAAAATACTCACTCCTCTTATTTTACATACATTCTTCTTTAATCCATAGAGTTTTGCTTTATTTCAGCCTTTCAAGCAATAACAGCTTTAGGACTTAAAGGACAGCTTCCATATTATTGTTACCATACTTTCTGTGGATCATTTATAAGGTCACACACTAATGTTGAATGAGAACCCACCCCCAAAGTAGTTTTTTTTTAAAGCTAAAAATAAAGATAGACTTCATTTTAGTGGTGCTTTGAAGCCATTAATAAGCAAAGGTCAAAGTGCACCAATGAATGGCTTCACCAGAAAAAGTTTTAATCAGATCTTTGAAGAGGCCTTGCCAGAGTTTGACCATAAATCTGCCAGAAAATCATTAAGGTTCAGCCACAGAGGACATGGAACAAGAAATGTCCTCACATTTAGTGAATTTGGAGAATTTCAGGTGACAGAGCGAGCAAATAAGATGTGGAAAGCTGACTAAAACCAAAGAAAACTAAATGTTTCTAAATCAACAAGTTTTTCAGGGTAGGAACTGTTTTATGGTTATAAATTTAACCATTCTGCAGTTTTCCCTCTAGATGCACAGTACAGCATGCATGACATTAAAGTTCAAAACAGTTTTTAAAAGGATTTATCGTTGGATCTATAAAAGCTTGCACTTTGTAGATTTTTATATATCCTCAGTTATCACATGGTAAGTGTCCACGTGACTGAACCTATTTTTAGAAATGAGCGCTGAAACTTTTAAGTCTTGAAACGAAACAGACTTTCATATAGAGACCATGTTTTACTGGTTTAACTGGCCTCTTTTCACTGCTGCAGCTGTGCCACAGAGGGGCTTTTATGGTTGTTTTGTGACATTTCCTGAATAAAGGTGTCTTTAGCATGATTACTCTGATGCAACTAGGCAAAGTAAAACTGTATTGGTTTTGATTAGGACCAAAAGGCAAACACGAATTTCCATTACACATAAGAAAAGATCCAATGACAACACAGAAAACTTACAGAATTGGAAAGAGGCAAACAGGACATGGAGCAATAGAGTAACAGGAGGAAGTAGAATAAAAAAACAGCCACAACCACAGAGCTTGTATACAGAGGGAAGGGTGAAGAGTGACAATTGATGCATGTGAGCTAATCAGATGGAGTCGGACAGCTGTGGAGGAAAGGCAAATATTTTTCGACAAAAAGGAAACCACAAAGCAGTGATGATAATATACTAACACTGACCTTGAGGATGAAGTAAAATATAGAGAATACAAAAAATTGAGTAAAGACGCTAAACCTAAATAACAAACTTAGATAACATTGCCTGTCAAACAGTAATAAGCATACAGAAATGAAAAAAAAAACCATTGCAAATCTGAAACGTCATAACTAATCATATCGAAACAGACATGAAGCTCTAATATAAAGATAGAAAGTAATTTTTCTTTCTCCCTAAAAAGTTGTGCCTTTATTCCTAGTTATATTCTGAAAATAATGTTTCTTTTACCACTTATTAGTTTTCCTTACTACCAAAACGCATTTGAAAAAATGAATGACCAATTTTTTTGGTGTTTGTAGATTTCTTTACAATACCTTACTTAGAGAGATAGAATCCTTTAAAGAAGGGAAACAAATAGATCTTGTTGTCCTCTTAGAAGGGAAGCCGATTTTTATTCTTTAAATTAAAAATATACAGGCCTGGTACAGGATCCTCCAGTCATCCCTTCATTTCCTGCTGCACCATTCTAACCAGACTGTGCCTTGTGTGTAGAAAGTATGCTACCTTTGTGTTAGTCTATTTTTCACACATTTAGGCCATAAAGAAGGCTAAAGGCCACTTCGTAACCGCATATCCTGTTAGATAACTTAAAAATATTGTTGTCAAAAATGTGCATGCACGCAACAGTTTTAAATTCTTGTCACAGATTCTCTAAAAGATTTAGGTCTGGATTTTTTTTCATTTTATCATATGACAACTGGAGATTTAGCAGTAAATTTTGAATAATTTTTCTTGCTTACAGGTTTTCCTCCAGTAATTTTGCTTAATCCATCTCCCAGGATGATGCCAACTCCATGTTTTGACTCGAAAATAATGTGTTTGGGGCTTTTTCACCAAACTTTCAGTAGGCCTGTTTTGTTACCTACATTTGGCTTACAGAAAACTGAAAATAGGATTTCTTTTTTTAAAATAAAGGTTTCTGTTTTAGTCACCTTCCATAAAGGTCAGATTTCAGAAATGCATAGTTGTATCCACTAATCTCCCACATGGGCTGTGTTCTCTGAAGCTATTAAGGAGTTACCATTCACCTCTTGGCTGATTTGCTGGCTATTCTTTTTGTCCAGCCTTTTTTAATGGGTAAATCAATGTATTGGTTGGACTGTGGTTCTCTCTCTTTTATTGTCAGACGATTGATTGAACAGAGGCCAGTGAGATGTTCAAAGCCTGGGAAATTGTCTTGGTATAACTTTTCACAACTTTCTTATATAGTTCAGCTGTGTACCTCGGTCTCCATTGAGTCCACACACAGGTTGACTCTAATGAAGTAACATTGAAGGCAATTAGTTGACCTGGATAAGAATTATGTCATGATTTTGGTGCTGATGGCTGACTTGATTGCTTATTTCATTCACCTGTCCATATCTGCCATGTTTCTCATCACTGCTCATCTGATCCTCCTGCTCCTGCTTCTATTTAAACTCCTTGGGCCCAGCAATCAGTGCCAGATTATTCTTGAGCCTTTTTGTAAGAGTTTTTCTAGCACAACATATTGTGTTCTGATTGTCTAATCCTGACCCATTTTGTATTCGTACCTTTGAGCCTGCCTACCCCTGTCTGATCTATTTTCCTGACCTGTCTTCGGACATCTGCCGGATTCTTCTTGTGGACTGAACCTGGATCTGCCTTCTGACTTCATCCTGGATTATCCTACCTTCCATTGTCTGCTTCAATCTGACCTCCAGATAGTTCTAGATGCTAAAGCCTTCTACAGGTGCTGGTCATAAAATTAGAATATCATGAAAAAATAGATTGATTTCAGTAATTCCATTTAAAAAGTGAAACTTGTATATTATATTCATACATTACATACAAACTCATATATTTCAGATGTTTATTTTGTTTAATTTTGATGATTACAAATGACAACAAATGAAAATCTCAAATTCATCATATCAGAAAATTAGAATATTACTGAAGACCAATAAAAACAAAGGATTTATAGAAATGTTGGCCAACTGAAAAGTATGAACATGAAAAGTATGAGCATGTACAGCACTCAGTATTTAGTTGGGCCTCCTTTGGCCTGTATTACTGCAGCAATGCGGCGTGGCATGGAGTCGATCAGTCTGTGGCACTGCTCAGGTGTTATGATAGCCCAGGTTGCTCTAATAGTGGCTTTTAGCTCTTCTGAATTGTTGGGTCTGGTGTATTGCATCTTCTTCTTCACAATACCCCATAGATTTTCTATGGGGTTAAGGTCAGGAGAGTTTGCTGGCCAATTAAGAACAGGGATACCATGGTCCTTCAACCAGGTACTGGTAGCTTTGGCACTGTGTGCAGGTGCCAAGTCCTGTTGGAAAATGAAATCTGCATCTCCAAAAAGTTGGTCAGCTGCAGGAAGCATGAAGTGCTCTAAAACTTCCTGGTATGTGGCTGCGTTGACCCTGGACCTCAGAAAACACAATGGACCAACACCAGCAGATGACATGGCACCCCAAACCATCACTGACTGTGGAAACTTTACACTGGACTTCAAGCAACGTGGATGAAGTGCCTCTCTTCTTTTCCTCCAGACTCTGGGACCTTGATTTCCAAAGGAAATGCAAAATTTACTTTCATCAGAGAACATGACTTTGGACCACTCACCAGCAGTCCAGTCCTGTTTCTCTTTAGCCCAGGCAAGACGCTTCTGACGCTGTCTGTGGTTCAAGAGTGGCTTGACACAAGGAATGCGACAGCAGAAACCCATGTCTTTCATACGTCTGTGTGTGGTGGTTCTTGAAGCACTCACTCCAGCTGCAGTCCACTCTTTGTGAATCTCCCCCACATTTTTGAATGGGTTTTGTTTCACAATCCTCTCCAGGGTGCGGTTATCTCTCTTGCTTGTACACTTTTTTCGACCACATCTTTTCCTTCCCTTCGCCTCTCTATTAATGTGCTTGGACACTGAGCTCTGTGAACAGCCAGCCTCTTTAGCGATGACCTTTTGTGTCTTGCCCTCCTTGTGCAAGGTGTCGATGGTCGTCTTTTGGACAACTGTCAAGTCAGCAGTCTTCCCCATGATTGTGTAGCCTATAGAACTAGACTGAAAGACCATTTAAAGGCTTTTGCAGGTGGTTTGAGTTAATTAGCTGATTAGAGTGTGGCACCAGGGGCCATCAATTTTGAACCTTTTCACAATATTCTAATTTTCTGATATGATGAATTTGAGATTTTCATTTGTTGTCATTTGTAATCATCAAAATTAAACAAAATAAACATCTGAAATATATGAGTTTGTATGTAATGTATGAATATAATATACAAGTTTCACTTTTTAAATGGAATTACTGAAATCAATCTACTTTTTCATGATATTCTAATTTTATGACCAGCACCTGTAGGCTTTAGCATCTAGAACTATCTGGCAGGGTCCGCTGTGTCTTGTCAGCCAACTAGCTGGAATCATCCTCATTCTCTTGGCACGGACTCAATTGTCAAACCAGATTAGTGAATCAGGCGCTCATAATCATCCTATGCAAAATTATCGTCATCACCAACCTGTATTTCTCTCCTATAGACGTTCCTGCCTTAGACTCCCTAGGGGCTGATACTGCATCCCCAAAGTCCGTGTTTTAAATTAACGCTTTTGAATTACCCCACTGCCTGTCTTGCCTCTCCTCTGTTCTGAGCATTGAGAAATTATAGGTGATTGAGTAGTGGGGTTTAATGTAAATGTAAGCTGTGTAAGCTCTCCATTTTAAAATACAGATAAAAGAAATTTTTATTCTTTTATCTGTCTAAGGATCTGACCCGTGCAAGGATCCATGCAATGATCTTTTTATTTCACTTGGCAATGAGTTGCCTTTGTTACGCAGTTTCTGACTCACCGTCTCTTCTACTCCAAGAAAAGCCGAAACAAAGCAGGAAGACCAACACAATAGAGATACACATCATAGCCACGGATGCTTTGGCTGCGTTTGTTAACACAGGAGCTTCATCTAACAGTAAACAGAATGGAAAAAACTTGGTGAGGAATGCAATTAAGTGCCAGAGCATCAAGAAAAAAACATAAATACCGTAAATTCTCTAATATTGGCCTGTATTCCAATAGCGGCCGGGTCTCTAACATTGGCCGGTCTCGCTGTCAGAGGAGGTAAATAATGGCCGGTCTCTAATACAGGCCGGGGCTATAAACGTTTTTTCTGGGCATACCTCAACATTATACTTGTGGTAGTAAGTAACATACAAGTACCACAGCCCTGGGCAGCTGAACGACAGCCGACAGGCCCTGCTGCTGCCCGTCTGCGCGAGGAAGAGAACAGACACGCAGCAGAACAGGAGGAGCGCGAGTGATGAGGAGAATAAAGGGAGAGATGAAGAGGAGGAGGAAACTGAGGAGGAGAATTAAACAGAATTGGAGGATTTTTATATTTTTTTTTTACTTCAAACCAAGCGAGACATGGTAACTGTACTTTTTCAATAAATGAACCTAGTGTTTTATAGGTTCAAATAGACACAAAATCTCATTTTTATTCATTCCACTGGTAGTCTGTTTTGCTCAAATAGCAATAGAGGCCTGTCTCTAATACTGGCCTCTATCCAATAAAGGCCTGGACCGCGATGCACTTGAGTGAAATAAAGGCCCGGGCCTATATTAGAGAATTTACGGTATGTTTTGAGAAACTAAAACAAGTGAAACTAGGGTAGTTTAAAAGTTCTGACTATTAAAGATGTTTCATGTAATCTAGGTGGATATATCTGTGTGAGCAAGCACGGACAAAACAAGCAACAGTTTCAAAAGGAAGCCTCTAAACTCTTTGAGAGCTTGTTTTTACAGAAGAGCATAGTGAACTTCTACCCTGAGGATCCAGTTTTTCCAGGTCTGCTGATGTGCTGACTGGATCCACCACCCCTGGTTGGTTCACCGCACACTCAACCGTGCCCCTTTGCTGCCTCTGCTCTGGACTCAAAGTGAAATACCGCCTGGTTGTGTAGGTCCGATCATTGTTCTGGTTGGTAACTGGAGGGTCAGGAAGCATTGTGCCATTCTGGAACCAGGACACAGATGCTTCTTCTGGGTAGAAACTCTCCACATCACAGTAAAGAGTGAGAGGAGCATTGCTGGAACGAGTCTGCACAACTGAGAGTCTGACAGAAGGGAGATCTGAGAAGATAAAAGTAAATCATTAGATTTGAATTATTGGGTCTGAATAAGTTTATCATAACATAACGTTCATATGACAGAGCATTGTTCTATTTAACAACAAGCTCACTGGTGACATTGAGATGGAAATCTAGCTCATGATCGCTGCCACTGTGTGATACTTTGCAGCTAAAGGTGGCATTCTGGTTTTCTTTGGAAGGGTAGAAGTTGGTCAGTTTGTCCACAGCTGTGTAGAATCCATCAGGACCAGGCTCGCCGTCCACCTGTATTGGAGGCTTTATCACTTGTTCTTCTATGCTCCAGGAAAAAAACACTGGTGGGGGACAGAAGCCACTTGCAAAGCACTCAAACTCGGTCTCTTTTTCTAACAGAACCCACTTCTGAGGCACAGAGACCGTAGGGGGCGCTAAGGATTAGAAACATGGAGGAAAAATAGCAAAAAAAATTAGTTTTTGTTTCAGAATTTAAGTGCAAACCCGATTTAAAGTATCAGTACAGTTAGACATACCTACAATACTAAATGTAACATTAGTGGAGGGAAGATCTTCGGAGTTGTAACTAACTTTGCATTCATATACCCCCTGCAGACTGAGACTGGCCCTCATGATGGTTAGTGAAAAGTCCCCATTGGTGAAATTAGTGGGATCCCAGCTGAATCCCTCCTTAATTTGCTCCTCTGCTCCTCCAAACATGGCAATGCTCGAGGCATTTCTTGTCCACCTGACTCTGATCAGAGATACATTTAATGTATTTCCTTGGAAGGTGATGTTGCAAGGCAGGGTTGCATTTGTGTTCGGGTTGGCCTGAATTTCATCAGAAGAAGCTGTGAGCAAACAAACACAGGTGCATCTCAATTAAGTGACACGTCATGATTATTGTACTTTAGAGCAAAAGAAACAAAAATAGGTAAAACATGGAAGGTTAAATGGAGGATAAAAAAATACCATAAAGTTAGAAAATTACAACAGAACAATCAGGCTAGATATAAGTTTATACTATTTATATAAATCATGTGTAATATGGTCATTTTCTGAAAATAAAAAAATCAGTATTTAAAGAAGGTGAAAGTAGCAATCTTTAAAAAAAGGTCAATTTACGACTTTCATTTAAAAAAAAATTCAAATTCTCAGAAACAGCCATATGATATAAGGTTAACGATAAAGTGCAGAATTTCCTCTTTATGAGTGATGTTATTTCCTTTTTGTAAAGGAGGAAATTATGCAATTATCCATCTGCAATGGAAAACAGTACTTTTAAACCAGTAGGTGGGTTTGTTACATTTATCACAGTTTTGTTTTTGTTTTGCTTTTAAAGCGGCTAAAGTTTTAAATGACTTACATTTTATTCAAATGCACCTTAATATGAAGAGAACCTCTTGGTTTTTTAATTCAGTCAATCTTGTAATCAACAAATTAAATGCAGAGTACCTTCAGAACAAAGATGAAATGTAACACACGCATGTGTCCATTTTTTCTTTCGTTTATTTGAATTAGTCACATGTCACGACCTCAAGTGAAAAGAGCCCAAGAATTCAGACTCAAGTGTTTTAGCTCCTTTCTTTTCATCTCTAAAAGTAAATCAGTAATGGCAGTATAACTTGCTCTCAATGAATCGGTGTAAAAATAAAGTCTTCTAATCTGCTTAATTAGTAACTAGCACAATAAATACTTGTATGATATGGCACCAAGTAACACAAAACTTTCCACAGTCAAGTGTTTACGTTTTACCCCTTGCAAAGTGTGATAGATGCGTCTGCAAGACTGAGTGACACATTTTTCTTATTTTTAAGTAAAAAATAATGTGAAGTAGTCTCTATTCAGCCACAATTGATCACACTTAGAAAGTTATTTTTCACACTCTGAGCTCAGTTGGCAACTGGTACTGGTTAAAATTACAGCGCTCTTAGTTGCTAGGCAATATTTTTTCCTATTAATCATGGAGAGGCATCAAAGTTGCACTCTTCAGCACATCTTTAATAGTTTATCTCTGTAGGTTTTGGGTCTCGAACTGAAAGAGACCAGAAATGAATGCACTTTAGTGTCTGTCTCTGTTCATTTAGCAGTTTGTTTTCATTTCTATTCTCCAATTTTTAGGTTTCAGTCAGGGTCCAACAGATTTTTACTTAAAATGTCTCTGGCATTTAAAAGAGTGTCTGATGTCAAGTAGTCTAACGAGGCCTCTGAAGCCGAGAGAAACCTTACCGTCACATGTTCCTCTCTGTACTTATGCATCAGGTGTTTTTTCGAGTACTCCTTTTGGTTTCACGAATGTTGGAATGTTTTGCTGCTCCAGATGTTCCTGTTACGACTTCTACATACCTTTGTATGTAGGTTATGACTAATACTAGATGTAGATCCCAAATAGGCTACACTTAGCTGCAGTAGAGATCGTTATTCACGTCTCTTAACATCTTGTTGTATACTTTGTGTGTTTGTGTGTGTGTGTGTGGGAGAGACACATTTCGATCCTCATTTGGTCCACAACTGTCGTACATGAATGTTCTCCTATCTTTACTATTTTTAAGAGCAGCTACTGCAAATTATGACATATTTATATCACAGGAACTAATCAAATCAAGTCAAATTTAGCATAAACAATTCGTCAGTTTGTTATATTTCATACAAAAAACTGTCAGTGGTAAAAAAAATACTTTACTTTACTTTAACTTTTATTGTTGTACAATTTTTGTACATAAATGCAATTATATGAATGCATAACAACATTTTGTCATAGTTTTTAACACACCTTTACCAGAAGGTCCAATAAGGGTGGGGCTATTGTACCTAAAAGCTCTTATATCATATATATCATATTAGTTTTATTTAGAAAGGAAAAAGATGCATGTTTCATTTAAAAAATATTCTTTTTTTAAGATTCTGCTGATCCTGTGACAGGAAAACAAGGCCACACCTGACAATTATTTCAAAGGAAGACAACAACCTTCATGTAATCAACATGTGGACTTTCACAGAGGAAAAGTTTGGATAAAAATTAACATTAACTCCTAGAATAGAATGCTAATGTTACATCTGGTCTCTCAACACAACCCCTGCTTTGCACTTTTTTTTATCATTTTGTTCCAATTTTTACATTTACTTGTTCTCATTTTATGAAAATTAGCAGAATCGTAATAAAACTCACCCAAAACAAATCATAACTTGACTGATCTTAATCATTTTAATATAGTTTAAACAAATTAATATATATTTTCCTACATTATCATTAATACATTAGCATTCCGGAAATGCACACAACTATATTATGCACCTTTAATGATGACGGATGAAAAATACCTTTGTAGTGCGCAGCCGTGAACCACTCTGACCTCTATGAAACCCATGAATTCAATCTGACCTTATCCCTGTTAAACTCTTACAAATTTCCAGTTTTAGCTGGTCCGTCAAACCAGGTTATTTAGTGCAGGGATATGAATGCAGCCTTTGTCACCGGTCTGTGAGCGCAATAACTCAATACTCACCATGTTTTATGAGATCCAGGAGCACAACAAAGATGAGGACTTTACACCGCATGGTCAGGCTTGTCTTGACACCAGGTTCTTATCAACAGGTCCGTTCTGCTGTCTTATATGCAGCTCAGAGGTGACAGTGGGCGGGATTGTCCTGAAGGAATAAGAAATATTGCTCCTGGGTCTAACAGTGAGTGAAAGGAGGCCCTTTGATATGTGTACCTTCCTCCAAATAAGCCCGAAAAGAGTTACAGAGTGAGAAGGAAGAAAAAAAGGGCTAAGATGTGCAAGGAAACACAAGTGGATAAAACGGGCTACTTAAAATTCACACGGGCTTGTGTCCAAGGTTTTTGGGGGCCACTTTACATTGGTGCAGTGTTGCCATGAACAAACAGAGATTAATCCCCACTGAGCTGGTGTGGGCAAACACTCAGACGAGACTACAGCTCTTTTATGTGAGGACAAAAGTAAATTCAGAATTACATTTTGAACAGAAAATGAGGTTTTGTTCTCATTCTCTGTCTAAAGTTAGGCCCTGGCTATGACAGGTTAACAGCTTTACAGAACATGTGGGTAAACCTTTAGTTGGAATATTTACTAAACTATCTGAGTACATTAAAACACATCAGATAACATAAGTATTTGCCTGCTTTGTCAGAAGTAAATGTTTAGATCTTCAAACAAATTATAAATCATCCAAAGAGCAATTTTTATTAATGACTCAGTCTATTAAGTAAAAAAAAGTCCAAACAAACTTCTCTCTGTGAAAAAGTAATTGCACCTTAAAGCTAATAATCTGTTGGGCCACCTTTGGCAGCCACAACTGTCATCAAGAGTTTAGGCACAACTGGCTGTAAGTCTTCAATGTCTCTACAGAGGACCCACTTTCTCACATTTCTTGTTGGATTTGTTTACATCCAGCCACATTCCACTGATTTCACAGCCTGTTTAAAGTCATGCATTATCTGAGGTTGGGGGTCGAAAACCGATAGCCGAAAACTAAATAATGTTTAGAATAATGAATGTGAAATTCATGGTTTTACTACTTAAGCCAAAAAGTCCAGGTCCAGAACCAATATTGTAAGCCCTGAGCATCACACTCCCACCACCATGCCAGTAGGATGCACTCCTGAAATGCTTTGTTAGTTTTGTGCTGATATAGTTGGAAAAAACATTTTAAAAAGGCCCCAAGATTGAGATGTTTAATGAAAGCCGGTCATTTGCTCTTGTAGATCAGCAAGGTGTTTGGGCTGAGCTTTCCCAAAGAGATAAATGCTAAATTTACTAAATTCTCCTCTGAGCTCCTAGAGAGCCACTGTTATTCCAACCTAAGTTACACACCTGGAAAGGTTCACTCTTATGTGTCTGATTATAACTCTAGCAGACTCAACATGGTATTAAATAATGAACTTTAATTAATAAAAAATCGGATCAAAGAAAATAATTGATTATTAATGCTGCATAGAGTAAATGTATGGTGGGATCTAATCATCTTTTAAAAGACTCACCTACTCTTAACTTGGTTGTTAGTGGTTCAGTCATTGGACAAGTGGCTGAAAGCAAATTGCTCGGTGTGACTTTGGACAGCAGGCTAACTTGGAATGCTCAGATAAAAAAAATACGAATAATAATGGGTAGGAGTATGGCATCATTTCAGCACTGTAGAAAATGCATAAAAATTCTAATACAAAAAACTTTGATGGAATCCATATTTTTGTCAATGGATCTGGATTACTGTTCTATCATTTGGGCAATAACTACAGGGAATAACCTGAACAAATTAGAGAATTAGAATAAGAATAAGACTAAGATTTATTGCAATTACAAGGAAATAGTCTTGGTTTCTATGGTGCAGACAAATTAGATATGTAATACAGAATACAGAATCTATAATTATATACAATATAAAACACACAATATACATAGGCGGTTCTAGTCAGGGGCCAACGGGGGCCAGTCCCCCTGTAATGGCCCCTTTACTGAAGACATAATACTAAAAGAAATTCTAATGATGGTCTGCACTGCAACAGACATGGTTATTGTTAGGTCCTTTGGATTTATTTCATTTTTTTTCTTAAAAATATCAGTTTTACTAATTATTTAAAAACAATAAGGTGATAAAAAGGCTTCAGTGGTATTGACATAGGATCCCAGTTTTTTTTCAGAACACTTAAAAAAAAAACTAAATTTTTTACAGCTTATCTATCAGCTTTTCTTTATTTCTAATTCTGATTTTATAGAAAACTGTCATTTTAACTTAAATTACAATACAAATATGTACAATTCCTAAATTATGAATGTATATTGACCTAATATTCCAAATATTAGCATTAATTGAACCTTTTTTTGAATTGTTTTTTGCTATGCTAAAATAATTCAAGCCAAAAATAAATATTTTCAGTTGGAAGACAGAATTTTAATTAAACCTAATTGAATGGAAATTTCATTTCATGCAGCTCTCTTAAAATATTTGAATCCCTTGCCCTGTTTTTTAATGCATGCTTTTCTATGCCCCCATGAAAACTTACTGGCCCCCTGCAGGCCCATAGTAATAATAATAATAATAACAATAATAATAATAATTGAACTTCATTGATCTCACACACAGTAGATGGTGCATTAACGTAACGCAGGAGGTGTAGAGATGCTACATTGGTGTAGCTTCTAGGTCCTGTATAGGTAGGGCGAGAGGAAGTGTCAGTGTCATGGGGATTTCTGGGCCCCGTTGATAACGTTGGTAGCGGATGAGAGATAACTGTTCTTGTGGCGTGAGGTTTTGGTTCTGATGTAATTTCTTTTAAGAAGTGTTAAGACCCCAGGAAGAACAGCTACTGCTGTGGATCTAAACAAACAAACAAACAAACAAACAAACAAACAAACAAACAAACAAACAAACAAACAAACTCTGTCCCATGTGTGGATATTGGTTCGGACTGTGTGTCGGTCCCTTTTAAATTTCTTTGTAACCTTGTTTGGACCGATAGCCCTCAGTGACTTTGTATCTTATTCTTTTCCTTTTGTATTTTTTTTTTTGGACTGAAGCTTAAGGTCCTCTTATCTTTTAGCCTACTTCATGGTGTCGAACAGGTTTTCACAGATCAGGCAGAAATATGTTAAAGGGACAGGCAGGTATGTTTTCTCATAGTTGCAGTTTGGTTTGGGTAGATTTTTTCAGATCGGAATTTTACAAAATGGCTTTTTGTATTTACCCAGCTTATCTATGACTTACATTTAGATATGTTGGGATGTCTGAGACAGCAGTAACCTGTTAGGGTTAAATACTTTTTCACGGCATTCAGAAGGGTGCCTTTATCAGTAGGTTAAAACATTGTCCTACTTTTATGCTCTCACTCCCTTTCTGTTTGTGTGTAGAAACAAACATCAGGCACTAAAGCCTTTCATTACATGATAAATGTGTGCTCAATGGACTTGTTTGCTTTCTGTATGTGAGAACACATATTGTAATTTGATGAAAGGTTTTCTTTTTCTTTGTCTGACACTGATTGCTTTACTGGCATGAAAGATTGTGTGAATATTTTGTGTGTGAGAGGGAAGGAGAGGGGAGCTTACCTAACTATCTCTACATGCTGATTTTGTGTTTGTATTTTAGTTCTGTATATGGGGGTGAAATCTTTTTAGGTAAAATATCACAACCTGTTAGACTTTTTGACTGTTGCATCAGGGGTCAGCAACCTGCGGCCCAGCAGCAAAAAGTTTCCCTTTAGACAGTCGACATTGGCTCTACATAACTTTGGCTAAAAAAGAAAAAGAGCCAGCTAATTCTTCTGAATAATTTAATTGCATTAACTTTCCAATAGAAAGATAAATATATTTTTGATCCATTATAAGTATTATAAGATCCATTTAAGCAGCCCATTTAAAATGTATTTATTCTATTTTCAAAAATCTTCTTTGCTTCATTTTAAAACTTAAACTAGAATTGGCATTGTGGTTATTTCAAAATGTCAAATCTTCTGTGGTAGATATTTACAAAATAGTAGTTTTTTTTTCATATAACAATTCAATTCAGTTTAGTTTACACATGTCATCTCAAGGTACTATACAGTTTACTAGATCATACAGTCAAATGGATTCAAGTTTTCTATCTAAGGAAAACCAGTTGATTGCATCGAGTCATTGACTTGAATGTAATCGCTCACACTAAGCATACTTGTAGCGACAGTGGAGAGGAAAAACTCCCTGTTAACAGGAAGAAACCTGCAGCAGAACCAGGCTGAGTGTGAGCGGCCATCTGCCGAGGCCGACTGGGGTTCAAGGAGACAGAAGCAGAGATACAAAAAGCAGCTGCAAAAGGCGGCCCCGTCCAGGAAACACAAAGCCAGGCAGACAAGCTCTGAGCCAGCTCCCATGTCAGAGGATGAAGAGAGAACATCCAGCCAGTCACATTCAGAGAAACAGGACTACACTGGAAAACAGGCCGATCTCCAGCATCAATAAACAAGGGTGTTGATGGCAGCAGCACTGCTGATAATTCTCTCCAGGATGCTGTAACAGCCAAAAATGTTTTGTCATGTTTGTTGCTCTATACAAGAATGGGTTAGGGTTAGAAAAAAAGAATGAATAAACAAATCAGAATCAGAATCAGACATACTTTAATAATCCCACAGGGAAATTACTTTTGTTACTTGCTCCAGGTACAACAAACTACACAAGATCATATAAATATAGATATATACATATCAGAATCAGAATCAGAAAAACTTTAATAATCCCAGAGGGAAATTACTTTTGTTACACGCTCAAATTACAGTTTTACATGATATATACACACATCCAACTACACAATATAATAAAGATAAAAAATAAGAATAACTCTTCTAACAAACGAAAACAAAAAGGTTCTTATTTTGAAAGACAGCAATGTACAGTAGTCGTCATGGAGAGCAGATGGACTTTCAATCAGCTTGATTTTTTAAAGTTGAGTTTGGTTTTTACAAAAAACTTATACATTTTCGAACAGATTTGCACTAAAGTGCATCAAAGTAGGCCACTTCCATTCATTTCATTGGTGCACCTTGTGGCAGGTTGGATTCTCTAAAGCCTTCCGAACTGCCTCAGCCTTTCAGTAGATCCAACAAGGAGTTGGAAAAAATCCTCAGAGATTAATTTCTATTAATACACCACAGCCCTGTTGGGATGCGGTGCCATTTTGTCCTTTAAACATGTTGTCTAGGAAATGCATTAGGCGTTTGTGTTTCTGTATGTGTGTTTGCACTATCAACAA